CCTCCCCAGGACCCCACTGTCTACCTCTCTTGCCCCTCTTCCCCTATACACACAACACTCCACCCCTGCTTTGGCTCAGAAATCCTCACATTAGAGATGAGGTTTGATCAATAGTTTCCTAATGCTCGTCAAAGGAGAGTGGTTTGCCTGTTGTGCACGTAGATGGCGATTCTTCCATTAGCTCAAGCACTCAGCAAATATTTTTCCAAAACTTCCTCTTTCTCTTCACTCCTATCCCCTCTCACCCCATCCTCCCACACACCCTTCCTGTGACAGGCTTATCTCTGAGGCAGTGGCAGGGCAGGAATGAGTTAAAGCAGCTCATCTTTCTGGCCAAAGAGGCAAGCCTGGCATGTGTCACGGCCCCAGCTGCCATTTTCTTCCTGCTAATTCTTTCCGGGTGGGTCCCAAGCCACCCCCAACAGCTCCCAGCTCCCTAGACTCTCTACCTAGAGCCCCAGGCAGATAGTACCCAGGATCAGGCTGGAAAGAGCCCCAGCCATGGGCATCGCCTCCCAAATGCCCAGTGTGTGTGTCTGCATATGCATGTGTGTTGGCAGTGGGGGAGGGGTGGTGGAGCAGAAACCCAGCAGCTGGGCAGCTCCCTTCCCCGTAAACAAGGACATGTGACTCTCCCACCTTCTTGTGTGGCAGAGCCAAGAGCAGAGCAAAAGGAGCTGCTGCAGCTCGAAGAAAGAGATCATCCAGGGAGCCCCGACCCTGGCCAGACCTGCCTTCCCTCCCTGGAGAATCTTCTCCCCAGGGCACAGCCCTGTTGGCGGGAAGGGAAACCTCCGCTCTGACTCACTCCAGTGTGTCTCACGCCCCTTCCTCTTCCAGCAAAGCTACCTGGCCTCCAACCCCATCACCACCGCAGCCACCCCTGAGGCTGCTGTGATTGCTGCTGCCTCTAAGATGTGCCCTGGGAACTGGCTCTGGGCCTCCATGACTTTTATGGCCCGCTTCTCCCGGAGTAGCTCGAGGTCTCCTGTTCGCACCAGAGGGACCCTGGAGGAGATGCCAGCCATTCAACATCCCTTCCTCAATGTCTTTGAGTTGGAGAGGCTCCTCTACACGGGCAAGACAGCCTGCAACCATGCCGATGAGGTCTGGCCAGGCCTCTACCTCGGAGACCAGTATGTACTGGGCAGACTGGGCCCACGGCTGAATGTGTGTGTGTGCACGTGTGCGTGTGTGTGCGTGTGTGTGCATGAGCACGTGCATGAAGGAAGAGAGGGTGGCAGACGAGCACTGAGTCGTGTTGTTGGTTCCAGTTGAAGATTGAGGGGAGGGGACACACAGGCAGAGAGTAGAGGCTTGAGGGTTTGAGAGAGTTTGGGCAGAATTTTTGAAATACCCAACTCTGAACAGAAAGACTGTTCCAGTATTATTGTTATTATTGAGTGCCAATGCCACGTACCAGGCACAACAGATGACTTCTCTGATCCTCCATCTATTGTGCTATGGCTCTGGAAAAAGGCAGTAACTGGGAACCAGGAACAGTAGGTCATAGACTGAAGGGGTTCCTCCAGAGACCAAGCAAAGCCGCAGTGTCTGCAGGGATTCTGCAAGTCGGGGGCTGTGGAGAGAGAAACATCAGAGGGAGAGCAATCCCCACTTCTCTCCCTCAAAGGCTGTGTAGCGTACAAGCATTTTTTTCACATGCATTTTCTCTCAATCTTCACAACAGCCTTGTGAGGTGGGTACCAAAACCCCTGATTACAGATGCGGAAACTAAAGCTCAGAGAAGCTGTGACTGGCCCAGGGTCCCAAGGGTCATAAGCAGCAGAGCCAGGCCTCGGAGGTTCAAGTTCAGTGCTCTTTCTACTTGAGGAGTTTGCAGTGGGTGGGGTGTTTGCCCTGACATACGACCACATTGCCTGAGGGGCATCTACCACTAAGTTGAGGGGTCTGGGCCAGATGAACGCCTGAAGGTGACATCCTAAAACAGGGCAAATGTGAGACATGGAGTAACTGGCAAAACATAAGAGGATTCTGGGCATCAAAGAGAATATAACGTTGACAGGGGAGCTGGGTGTGGGAGCAAGTGTCAGAACCGTGCAACCTCAAGGTTCACTGGAACGTTACATGCGAGCAGACCCAGCAACCCACATTCTGTTCAAACACCCTCGGGAACATCCAGGCCTGCCCGTGGGTCTCCTTCCTCTCCTTGAACGTCCCCATCCCCCATGA